GTCAGTGAGAAAAAATCGGAAACGAGTGGATAATTTTGTTTTCAGGAACTAAGAATGCTTAGTAAATGAGTCTTGTTTAATCTAAATTAAATATAAAATTATTTACCAATAAACCTAATGATGGAATTGTATTATCATGTAATCTTAGTTACATTCAAAGTTACGTTAAAATTTGACTCTTCACAATGAAGCGAATAAATGAAAATGGTCTTTGATTCAATGTTTATATTCGGCACTATTATACGGCGGTATGATTTCTAACCATTCTTTTTTCTTTTTTGATTTGTAGGTAAACTTGAAATAGTAAAAACAACAATAATAAAATAATAAAAACCTCGTAGTGAATTATTTTAATAACCGAATATCGATAATATGTACGCTTCCAAGAACAACACTATCTCAAAAAGAATCGTTACCAACAATCATCAAAGTATACAAACACATAGGCAATCTGAAACACCAAAGCAAATTTGGCAAGATTTATGAATAAACTTAAATATGTCTAATTACATGAGATATTTGGGCTTTTATGTGATTTACAGACAGAAAAATAACACGTGCCGTGCATGTCGATCTTCGTTTTTTCAAATGCCACATCCCGTAATGCTGCAGCGACAAATTTTTATTAATACTTAATTGTTCTCACTGTCAATATTTTTGTCCATTTTACTTCAATACATGCGAATAATTCAATAAAACATTCGGAAAAACATTTGTTTTGACATTTGATGTACTTCCCTTTGACAGTCGTATCATGGGTACATGAGGTATCATGTACTGCGAAATGGACACGGTTGGCATTTAAGATGACGTTACGTATTTTCGATTCCCATGTTCGACCCAGACCAGTGTAATGCTATCACTTTTGGCTTAAGATGGCACGCAATAGTTAAACAAAGACAATAACATGTTTATGTTTTCAACGTCGAAATGCATCATACACATATAACGTCTGATTTATATTTGTCAACATAACATGTCCTTTAGTTTCCAAAGTCTAAGCTGCAGGCAACAGAGCCGTGGGTACCGTTCTTAGAAGATGGAAAAAAATAAAGGAGTTGCTCTATCTACGGAATAAACGTCCCTATCTAAACCAAAAATGTCCACGGTGAATATTGAAACTGTTTTTTTTTTAATTTGTATAGTTTATTGTAATCAAAGTATGATTAAAATGTTTAATTAAAGTAGATCAATATTCATTGTCATATGGGAATATCCGGTATGATAAATATGAGATTTTGAATTTATTATTTAGCATTTATAAATGCTCACATATTACGAAAAATAATATAAATCAGGAGATCTCTATGCATTTCCGATCTCAAGACTGATATTAGATTTTTTTAAAAGGTTTCCAAATAGTTTAAGCTGTTTTGTATTTATTTATTGGTATAGAATTAATATCAGTGATTTTGATATAGATGAATCTAACATTTCCATTTAATTTTTGAAATAAATAAAATTACATACATAATCGATAATCATAAAATCAGATATAATTTCAATAATAGGTAAGTTTATTTGCCTAAAACATGGTAAAACACAAGATGTAGCAAGAAACAGTGTCAGTACAAACATGTTATATTACATAACCATATATTAAACTACCACAACAATAAAAATGTCGCAACAAATGGTCACAAGTTACAAATTAAATTTGCCAAGAATTACATGTCATGTAATGTTAGAGTTGTCAGTGGGGAAAAATCGGAAACGAGTGGATGGTTTTAAGGAATTGAGAATGCCTAGCAATGTCTCTTGCTTACTCAAAATTAAATATAAAATTATTTACTAATAAATACGACGATGAATTATTATGAAATTGCATTATTATGTAATCAAGTTACATTCAAAGTTCTATTAAAAGATGGTATTTGATCCAATGTTTATGTTCGGCAGTCCTATAATTTCCAACCATTCTTTCTTTCTTTTTTCATTTGTAGGTAAACTTTAAAAATAAAAATAATAATAATCAAAAAATAAAAACCTCGTAGGGAACCGTTTTAATAACAGAATATCGTTAATATGTCTGCTTAAAAGAACAACATTATCTCAAAATAATCGTTATCAACAATCTTCAAAATATACTAACAAACAGGCAAACTAAAGTAACCAAAGCAAAATTCGGCAAGATTTATGAATAAACTACTTAAATGAGTCTAATTACATGAGATATTTGGGCTATTGTATGATTTATAGACAAAAAAATAACACTTGTGTGTAATGTAACATTCGGTTGATTTCCGCCTTTTCTACTGCCGCACCCCTTAATGCCCCAGAGACGCATTTTAATCAATACTTAATTGTTCTCACCGTCAACATTTTCGTCCAAATCTATTATAATTCATGCGAATAATTCACTGAAACATTTGGCCAACATTGGTTTTGACATTTGAAGTACTTCCCTTGACAGCCGGATATGGATGTCAAAGGGAAGTACATCCAAAAATGGTAAAATGAGGACAGTTGGCATTTAAGATGACGTTACGTATTTTCGATTCCCGTGTTTGACATGAGTCAATGTAGTGCTATCTCTTTTGGCTTAGGACGGCACGCAGTAGTTAAACAAAGACAATAAAATATTTATGTTTATGTTTTTTGTTTTTTAAATGCATCATATACATATAACCATTGTAAGTCAATGCATATAACGTCTGATTTATATATGTCAATATAACATGTCCTTTGGTTTCCATAGTCTAAGGTACCGTTTGGTTGGAGGTGCAGATTGCGCATCTATTATTTACAAGTATAATATAATTGGGTTACATGGGTTAATGAAATATTAGACAATATCACATACGTTGTTCTGATCCCAAAGTAGCTGAAGCACTTGTGTTATGGAAATTGGAAACAACGATAATGATCGATACACACTGTAGCTTGGAGTATTTGCTTAGTAGAATAAGTAGGATAACTCCATCCAAAATAACAGCGCGGTTTGTATATCCGCAACTGTCGCGCGCAGTATACGGACGCACACATTCGCATAATAATGAAAGGCACGTTGCTTGGGACGACTAGAGTAATACAATGGGAGTTATCGCGAGACTATGCGAACGTGTACGTCCGTACACAGCGCGCGGCAGGCGCACACACATATAAACCGCGCTGTGACGTTTGTATGGAGTTACCATACTAGTCCTTCTTCTACTATGATATTAGTGTCCTGTGTCGTAACTTTTCCACCAGAGCGACAACCTTGGAGGACTTTAAGTGACGGAACGAACAAGTAGTGCGCCTGTCACATATTATTATAAAAAAATCTTTATTTCATTTGAAATCGACACTTTGATTCAATTTAGTAGAGTTTAATTAATATGACGATTTCAAGTCAGTTCTTCTTTATAAGGCTGATTTCCCTGAAAAGAATGAGTAAGAAACTATAGAAGTTGCTCTTTGTAAATAAACTTTTGTATAGGCAGATTTATTATTAACAATATTTTTTTTATAACTAAACGGCTAAACATCCAAGCACGTACACAGATAGTGTGTAATAACTTTTAGTGTGAAGTTTATGTTTAACCATAATTTTAAGCCTCGTAAATTGCAAATTTTGAATATTAACCTGAATCTTATTAAAGTACCTTATACATTGCCCCTTAAATGTATTATATGTGATTTTGTGAAGATGAGTGTCAAGAATGGCCAGTTCATTTTTGTCCCTCGTATTACTCTGACGATTACTTTTTTAAATAGTTTTTTTTTAAATACTTGAATACATTAACATAGAGCATGATAAATCTTTATAATGAACATTAAGATTCAGTGGGCAAACAGATGAGAGTCGACGGGTAAAAAAGTTGGTATCGAAAAGGTATCTGTGGACAACTGAACCATTGTTGTATAGAGCTATTTCCTCTTCAGGGGTACACCTACAGTGGCAGGTTCTCAATACTAATATGAATTGGGAGGAGAATACATAATAATAAATACATACATATATGTACTTTCATACAAAAATTTACGGCGGCGGCAAACGCTGCCGCAATTCTCTACTAATGTACGATTTTAGTTTGTTACGCCGCATGAACTACAGTCGCGGCGCTGGTGCAGCAGTATGACGGCGTGTTTGTATGTGTAGTCAGCCTTAGAGTAAATGACGCTTTGAAGCCCCAATAAAACGCAGAGTTTTAAATACACGCCATCGCCGTATAGTTAAGAATGGAGCAGACTAAACGGGTAAATAATGGTTTTTAAACTAGCGTTTAATAGTAGGATTCGGTTATTGTAAAGGTTTCCGTGAAGTTAATTCGTAGTTTGCCAGAAACTGATTAATTCGACCATAATTACTGCGGTCGTGACAAACTCCTGTTAAACTAAGGATTGTTATGGTGTTTTGCAACTTGGTAACAAAGTTTCATACAATAATATTATACACCATTAATTTCTATTGTCGTACTAAGCGACTTTATTTGAATCAAATGTAGTCCTGTATTTTTTTTTAATGTGAGACAACAACACATACGTTGCTCTGATCCCAAAGTAAATAGCTAAAGCACTTGCGTTATGGAAATCAGAAACAACGACGGTACCATGAACACGCAATGAACCCGAGACAATATTGAAAAGTTAGTTTTTACACTGACCTGACCGGGGATTGAACCCAGGACCTCAGAAATGGCTAACCATGAAAACCGGTGTGCAAGCGACTCGACAGCGGAGGCCGTCAAATGTTACACTTATATGTATGTATTACAGATATCTACCATGAATTTCGCATAAAAATAAAGAGCGATTAAAATGCTGCAATGTTGTTTTATAGAAGTTTTCAAATTAATTTTAAATATTAATTTTAAATTAGTTAATTTAAACTAATTTTTAAATTAATTTCGAGTCGGAATAGGTAAAAACCATTGAAAGTTTCTCTTTATATCCTATAAGTAAGTGTTAATAAATTAGGCATTTCTTTCGTGGTCAAGGGTATTTTCCGTATGGACGGGCTTATAAGAGGCGGTCAAACTTAGGATTCATTTGACATGCCAATCGTACCATTACAGTTTCCTCGAGATCTACAACGAGCGCGTCCACGACTTGCTGGCGGGCGAAACGCCATCGCCTCTGGCGTGTTACTCGCTGCCTCGGCGCAGGGGTAATACACGCAAGGATTTGCGTGTGCGTGAACATCCTTTAAGAGGACCTTATGTGCAAAGTAAGAAATAACGCTTCACAACTCGTGCATTCCCTAATCTTCCCTAATTCTACCGCTAATCAGTAATGTGAACATTATTGCGTTCCTGTTTTGGAAGGCTAGGATGCTGGTGAAATTACAGGCACACGGGACTTGTAAATATATGTCTCAGGGTGACGGGCGCAGTGGCGGTGCTCCTAAGATCTTTGCGATTTAAAACTGCAACTGTTATGAACAGGCGTGTTGCTTATCGCCTAGCGTACGACTTGTTCGTCCCGTCAATTGGTGTCATAAAAAAAATGTATGTAAGTGCAGTGGTACGTACAAATGGGTTAATGATGATGATAGTTTATACGGATTTTTTACTGACGAACTATTTATGTAGATACATGTGAAGTAAAATTATGTATTTTTGCAAATCTGAAATAATTTCCTGACACAAATGATTAAGTATCACTATTTACTGGTATCTTACCTAAATCTCTTTTGGAGACACTAGTTTTTGTTCAGATCTACGCCGTGTAGCTGTGACCGATGTAGCAACCCTCCTGTCACTGGTCGAAGAAGGAGCTCGCAGACGTCGAACTGCGGCCACAAGGCGCAACGCCACCTCTTCGAGGTCTCATGCTTTGCTGGAGCTGGCTACATCGAGAGCTACGCTCCATTTAGCTGATCTAGCTGGCAGGTAATTTGGTTCATGTTAATCTCTGGCAGATTCACGGTTGACACAGGTGACCATGGGACCTATAAAGGGCCCGTAACGTCGGTTTGTTTGAAAAAACATATATACGTTAAAATCCGGAAAAACAGTTTCATTTCTTATATGTAACAGTCTCTCTATAACAATACCTCTTTAACTGCCTCTGTGGTTGAACGGTTACCATGCCGGACTGCCAACCATAGGTCCCAGGTTCGATTCCCGGGCCGGGAGAAATATTTGTATGGTATTATCATTATATTATAGAAACTTAAGAAAAAACTAGAAAACCTAAGAACTCGATACTAATTAAACATTCAGAATTTATTATAGGGAATTGTCAATTTTCAGATTAGTTTATTTACCTAATTTCGGTGGCAATTTTTATTATTTGATTATTCTAACATGTTATCGTGATATATTATATAATATCTCAGGTTATTACACTGGACTATTAAGTAATACTTCATGAAAATATTTCTGAATATAAACTAATAATAAAAATTGCCACCGAAATTACGTAGAGAAAACTAACCTGAAAATTACCTCTTATTACGGCACAGATCGTACCTACAGTCATTCCATAAATATAGAATTCCTTTTTAAAAAGTATTTTAATCATTTTTAATTATTATCTTATAGTTCTTCATGTAACTCGAAGTTTCCTTGGAAGAGATTGCTATGTAGCAAGAAGGCCGCCTGTTGTACCGGTCTTTTTAATTTTTTTTTGTATTATTTTGGACCAGTCCCAGTGCGCAATAAAAAATATTTCAATAATTATATTGTTAGTAGTTTACAGTGGCCCAACATAACCTATGACTTTGTGTTACTCCAAGTGCAATAAGTATGTAATACAATAATACATTTGATTACTTGCCTAAGTTTAAAATTACCAATTATTACTATCTATTCCTTTATACTTTTACAAAGTAGTAAGCAAGTATTGCAATTAGGCATATTTAGCTCAATATTGCGTCAGTGGTGTCGCTGGACCCGTAATTCGTTGAACGGTTATTACACGAAAATCTATTTTTTTTGTATTGTATACACCAAAACGATAGTCAAAAATTTATGTTTTGTGCAGTGAAAAAGCGAGCTGGGAAGGTTGCGGCGGAGGACGGAAGAAGGAAGGAGCCAACATCAATAAGTCTCTTGTGGCTTTAAGCAACGTTATATCGGCGCTTGGTAAGATTTTTATTCTCTTTAAAAGAGATCCAAATTTGAAAGAGTTCTATAGAATTAAGAAACTCTGTAGGTAAATCTCACACGATTTGATATGGTTAACAAAGAACTCGTTCGGTAATTAAATATATGGATAATTTTCAGGTTACTTTTCTGTACCTAATTTTGGTGGCAATTTTTATTATGTAAATATTCTAGAGTATTCTCATGAAATATTATTTAATGTTCGAGAGTAATTTGAAATTTAATTTATAATATTTCTCGGCAACATACTTGAATACTTAAAGAAATTTGCCACCGAAATCAGGTAGAGAAAACTAACCTGAAAATTACTCATATTTACACCTTCAGTGTAGATGGTAAAAATTGCACCTTTTGTAATAAGGCTACATTGCAAAATGACTACTTTATAGGTGAGAGGAACAGATTTTACGAACGAAGTTAGTCGATAAATTATTTATGCTTAAATAGGAGAACTATAAAATGTATAATAATATACTTCGTTTTATTTTTACTCATTTCATATGATAAAAGCACTTGATCCAATATGGCTAAGGGTACAAAATATCCTTCGCGTATTCGTTACGCTTTTAAAATTTTTTGAGTCAACAAGTTTGTTTTTTCCAGTAAGTGGCGGCGCCCGTGGCAAATTTGTGCCATATCGAGATTCCGCTCTAACTTGGCTCCTCAAGGATTGCTTCACCGGCGGCGCCAGCACCTTCATTATAGCAAGTAAAAAATACCCTTTCTGCTAGCATTGCTTATTTGTGCATGCTTTACATTTGTTCATTGAGTTGTAATTTTGCATTCGCGTGATCATCATTAGAACATAATTTTCAATAGTTTGAGTTCCTTGCCAGTTTGGTACCCACAAAAGTAGCAATAAATACTGTGTGTTTTTATATGTTTCTATTCGAGCTTTTCTGACAGAATAAAATATTCCTTAATAGGAATTACTTATACGCGGTCTTTTACAATATTTACATTGTTTCTTAAGCTGTTTCACCGAGTGTGGCGTGCTACGGCGAATCAGCGTCCACGCTCCGTTGGGCTGAGCGTGCGCGTCACTTGCGGACACCACGCACCTCCGTGATAGGTCCCATCACCGCCTCACGCGCTGCTTTGCAAGCACAGCTATCTCAACTACTCGCTGAACTCTATAAATATCACATTCGATATGTAAGCTTTTTCACAAACATTTACATTATTAACATTTATCCACTCATGTATAGTCAACAATATATTCGGCTTTACACATTAGACTTGGTACCTGTCTTAATTTTAAGTGCTTAGCATAGAATTGATTGATGAATTTGATTGTATTGTACTGAATTAATTTTCCGGTCATCACACTTACGTGCACCATTTTTAAATAGTTTTTATTAAAAATTAATGTAACGTGTTTACAAACAGGTTACTAATATATCAGTCTTTGGGGAAAAGAAAATTTAAAATAAATACTTAAAAGATATTTAATTTTGATATTATGTTTCCAGATTTCTGGAAAAATATTCTTTGAAGATGAACACTGGATTCTACGTGAAAATAATAAAAATGCCGAAGCAGTCCAGAGTGTAAATACAGACGCAAAAATAGGTAACCTAATGGACATGTTTAAGCCAAAGGCTGAGGCCCATAATTCAGAATCTACAGCTTCATCAGCTGCCAGTGGCAGCTCAGAGACAATTAATACTTCAACAATGGACAAAATTATAGATCTTAAAACAGAAGTTACCAAAGAAGTTGATAAATTATTCGGCCCAGCTTTAGAACGGACAAGAAGTGGCAGCGATCTCGGAGCTGTAGTTCCTCTACGTCACAAAAGAAAACAATATAAATCACAAGAAATGCTACCAATTGACAGGCCTTTACAAATATACACTGATGCTGCAAAGAAGTCGCCCAATGAAAGTCAAGAAGGCTTAAATGTAGGCGAAAGCACAAGCAACAAGAAAATTCCTATTCTCTACGATAATCAAAGAGCTGAAATCGTAGCATCAGTTACCGAAAGACTTTACTCTAAGTTGAGAAAGAAAGAGGAAGCAGCAGTATCGAAAATGGAATCAATAGTCGACAGAAAAATCGTAGAACCACTCAGTGAGTTAAGGATTTGTACGAATGCGCGTCAGCGTCTCATAGAGATAAGTCAAAAAGCAATGAGAAATAAGCGACGTATAGGTATTCCTGCTCATACTCAAACACGATTAATAGTCACTCGCGTTAGAGAACAGGGCACCGATGTCCAAACTGATCTTGAATCGTATATTTTTGGAAAAGATAAATCTTTCACTCTCCAACGTGACGTTGGTACAGAAACCGTTCCAATAACACCGCGTTGTAAGGAGGTTGGTGTTGGCTCTAAAGCCAGCTCTTTGAATTATCGTGATACAGCAACAGCTACAGATCACAAACCAATAATCCGCGATTCTTTCACGAATACTGATACTGTACTGAAATACGATCGTTGCTCACAGACTCAAGTTGCTCCGCCACCTAGGAACAAAAGACGAGCTTCAGCTTTTTGTAAACAAATTGAAAATGTTGCAGCTACATCTGAGTATTACACCCCTTCTGTTATTAGTATTAATATATCTCAACAATATCCGATGGATTCAGAATCTCAAAGCTCGGATGATAACACGAATTGTGGGATTAATGAAACACAAAAGAAATCGATTGTGAATGTAACAGCTACACCCGATTTGCTTACGAATCATAATACGATTGATTCTAGCATTCATCAAGAGGCTGAATTGGGTGAAGTTTGTGATGCAGATGAGAATGAAGTTTTACCTACCACATTGGAGGCAAACTTACCAATTTTTCAATTGTCAAGACAAGATACCGATGATTTTCCAGAAACAGAAGAATGTTGTCTGCCTCGTGTTAAGATTGATCCTTCAAGAACAGTGACGCCAGGGGAGATCAAAAACATGATTTTGGGACGGAATGTTAACATGTACCCATATAATATTGTTCTATCACCACCAAAAGAAAGGGAAAATTCTAAGAAGATTGTTCAATTTCAAGAAACTGTAGTTGCTCCTGTTTTATCGGAAACTACCAAAACATGCGAATCACAAATTATCAACTGCAAGGCAAATTCTAGTTCAGATATAACAACTTCAGAAAGAGACTGTTGTAACAATTCTAATTGCTCGCAAGGATCAGATTCTGACTTTACAGATTCCAGTAGAGCTGATGATGATTGCTTTGTTTGGAAAAGTTTTAAAAGGGCACAATATTACAGGTCTGTAGGCAAAGGAAATACGTCAGTCTTTAAAGGCCCTAAATATAGAGCAGAAAAAACCAAGATTTACAAGGAATTTTTGGGTCTAGAAACGAAACAACCAGACGAGGCAAAACCATCGTTACTTAGAAATACCAAAGATTTGACTTCAAGTGACAGTACGGAAAATGAAAGAGCGCGCTTAAATTTTATGCAGCGGAGACAATTTTTTGAAGACAAGTTTACCCTTGATGAAGGAAACGGTTCGAGTGATACTTTTTCTTACATGGAAAAGGGAATTCTCAATTCTTGCTACAGCCTTGATGCTGCTGTAAGCAAGTATGAGAAATATTTGAGTGGTTACAATAATAGATTACACCACAACGCTGGGAACTTCAGAAGAGGTTCGGTAAGCAGAACTCCTACGGAATATTTACATTATTTGGTAAATTTACGCAAAGAGCTCGTCAAAGACGTGTCAGATGGTTCTACCGGATTATCTCGTAAATAATGAATGTATAAATCAGTGAAATGTGTATTTGTACTGTAAATAAAAGTTTTTTCAAATAAAAATAATTACAATCAACACATTATTTAATTTTTTACATTCTGCTGTTTGAGCACAGGTAGCCTCTGATGCGAAATATTTAATATAACCAACTATTTTAAACATGTAAGGTAAATAAATATGTAGTCATTTAGATGTCATTAAGTAAATGTACAATAATATGGTGTCTCCGTCAAGGTACATCATAGCAAATACACAAAAAAAAAAGAAGAAAGTATATTAACAATACAACGAGATTAAAACATTTTCAATTCATTTTCCAGTCCAAAAATTCATTAGTAGTATATTTAGAGGATGGAAAAATAAAGTCTAAAGCAGCATAACGGTTTTTTTAAAATAAGGTTTTTTTGCGTCCGAGTTAAAGCTACCGTCAGTGCATTGTCAAAACCCAAGCAGCACACTCGGTAGAGCTCCATGCCAATTTATCTAGCCTGAATCTTGTGGTTGTGTATAACTAGATTTGAATGGTTTTATGAAGATTTTTTTAAGAGTACAAACTTTAAAAGAGTTCCTCTTAAAACTAACTGGAAAGTGAAAATTGTCTTATTGTGATCTATGGCAACTCTATCACAAATAATGTTTTAAAAGTAATTTTACTCAAAAGATTTAGACAAAATACTATATACATCAATGGATAGTCTAATGGAGTTTTATTACAACCCACAATTTTGTTACATATATTTTATACAATTGCCACTGTAGTCTTCGATTTTCAGGTAATCAAAAGAGTAAATGACGACCTCCGTGGTCGAGTGACTTGCACACCGGTTTTCATGGTGTCGCTCTAAGGTCCCAGTTTCGATCTCCGGTAGGGTCAATGTAGAAATTAACTTGTCTACATTGTCTCTGGGTGTTTGTGGTACCGTCGTTTTTTTTAATAATAGTGGATTTGCCTTCGCATTTAGCTAAGAAAGGATTTTCCAATTTTCATAACACAAATGCTTTAGTTACTTAGTTTGGGATCAGAGCAATGTATGTGATGTTGTTTAATACTTAAAAAAAATTAAAATGTAATTTATTATAGTAGTACTTGTTAAAAAAATTTCGTGGCTAATTAGTGAGGCCCGTTATCAACAATAATGAAAATAAAACAAATAGCATTTCGTAAAAATGTTAAAAAATGTAGGTAAATAAATACGAGTCATAAACCTTCACTGACAAAAATGTTCCAAGACGAACCATTAAGGTAAATACATGGTAAATAGAATACCATAAGGCAATTAATAAGTCTAAGTGATATTCTATTCCTTGATCACTTGAAATATAGAAGTAGTAGAGCTGCTTGAGACAGAGTTCGTCTAGGGAAATATTGCCATCTTACCTGTTACAGCCATCAAGCAGTAATGCGAACATTACTGCGTTTCGGTTTTGAAAGGTAAGGGTGTTGGTGAAATAAAAACGCCCATGGGACTTTTCAACTTATGTCTCAGGGTGACGGGCACAGTGCCCCCTCAAATCTTTGTGATTTAACTCTGAGTGGCACTGCAACTGTTACGGCCAGACGTCTCGCTAACAACCAGACATGTAACTATTAAGAAATCTGTGACCAGGAGCAAGACTTTTTCCTCTTATCACTTGATATCATAAATAAAAATTATAGCACGCTTTGGTTCAATTTTCTAAGTTTCAAGATTGGAGCTTTATATCAGATTTGTATGTAATTGTATTACAACAAAACATAGCATTCATATATCTTTACTATCTATAATGGTCTCTCTACACGTGGACATCATAGTGAGTTTTTCAATGTCGTTCTTTCTCCAATTTAATTGGGAGTTGACTATAATAATTATTTTGTAACATAGTATCAGATGTGTCGAGCGGTGGTATCACGCTCGATCAGTTGCCGAAAAGCCTCCGTCGGAACGCGTACACAATCGAGTAATTTTGTGCGAAATAAATTCTCCAACATTTCCAAATAATTAATGACTGTTATGTGCTAAATTTAAACTTAAAATTTAAATAAAATGGCAATTTTCATGACAACAATATTAACAGAATCAAATATGTTTCTGACAATTTTAGCGCTTTTCCTAATATATCTGTGGTTTCGACGAAAATTTTCTTACTGGAGCAGGAGAGGTGTCATTGGCCCGGAACCTGTGTTCCCTTTTGGCAACATTAAGGAAGTGATCAGACGAAAGACTCAGTTTTTCCAACCGTACTGTGACAACTACTTCAAATATAAACATCTGCCTTACATTGGGATGTACTCTTTTTATAGACCTGTCTTGTGCATTAATGATTTAGAAATTGCTAAACTATTACTCATAAAGGATTTTGATAATTTCCAATCGCATGGAATATTTTCTGGAGGTGATGGAGACCCGTTAGCCGGTCATTTATTTAATTTATCCGGAAGTGCGTGGAAAAACTTGCGTTTGAAGATGTCTCCTACATTCACTATAGGTAAACTAAAGAGTATGTATCCTTTAGTAGAGAAGGTGGCAAATAGTGCTGTGAAATACTTGGAAGAGAAAAGTTCTGCCGGAGCTTCGATAAATTATTCCGAATTTGCTGAAAAGTACACTATGGAGATAATTGGCAGTGTCGGTTTTGGAGTAGAATGCAATGGATTCAACAATCCAAATTCAGATTTTTATAAGAATGGTCATGCATATTTCGAACCAAAATCTTGGTATTGGTTAGTAAATAGTTGTAATACATCCTTATTATAAATTACAAAATTATGTCAAGCTTAGAGCGTCGTTCATAGAGCGTGTACTTTCATTTTTACAGGACATTGACTCGCGCATTAGCATTTTTTGTACCAGATCTGTTCAACATATCAAAGATGAAGCGAATTGACCCAGATATAATAAACTTTTTCTACAGCCTTGTTAAGGAGACTGTTGAATACAGAGAGAACCATTGTTACAAGAGAAATGACTTTTTGCAAACACTTATCGAGTTAAAGAACGGAAAAGTTGAAGACGAAACAGGTAAACACAATGTTTAGTAAACAGGTGTGTGCACATTGCGTAAGTTTGGTTCAATATGTAGGATGCCCACAACCGGATTAGTACATTCACCGTGACCCTAGTGCAAACAGTACACTCAATGACTATAAACCATGAGGTAATACGGCTTGCAAAATTCTGTAGAATTTGCGAAATATTATCTAGTGTTTTGCCGTGTAAACTGTTTGTGGGTTAAAGTTAGGATGTTGACCATGACCGTCTACTATTTGAGTAGAGTGCTTGCACGTGCTCACGAAATTCGGATTAACGACGACAAAATTTGTTTGAATAGATACGAAACGTGCTATCGATTTATGGACGCTATTAGTAGCAGTAGAACGCCCTTGTGCATCGGCAGTGCTCCTCAATTCCTTGCGATTTGAATTTTCGAGTGGCACTGCAACTGCGACGCATAGGCATGTCACTTATCACCAGGCGCACGACTCGTTCGTCCCGTCAATTGGTATCATAAAAAAGCAATATTAGTTGTGAGTAGAGCCAGGGCAAGTACAGGAGACTTGGAATCTAATATTACACGTCTGGATTATGCTACTTACTTGCGATTTTAAGAATACTGCATTGATATCACAAATATGCATAGGACGGTAGTAATTGTCCATTACGTGGATCGTCTTGAAACGTGGATATGTCAACTTGTCTTAGAGTGACAGACGCAGTGGCAGTGCCCCTCAGATCTATATGACTTAAAGGTCGGATTGGCGTGTCGCTTGCCAGCAGGCGCACGATTAGTTCGTCCGATCACTAGGTATCAGAAGAAAAAATTGTTTATTATGGAATTGTTTTAGTCGAAACAAAACAACGGTTCACGTTTACAATGCGAGACGTGGCAGCAAATACAATGCTGTACATGTTTGCCGGCTACGAAACTTCGGCCACGACGGGTCAATTGGCCGTTTACGAGATGGCGAGACATCCAGAGTTGCAACAAAGAGCCAGAGACGAGGTGAACAAAGTCCTTGCCAAGTACGGTGGACAGTGTTGTTACGAAGCTCAGAATGAAATGATTTACTTAAACATGGTATTAGATGGTGAGTGTTTTGAAATTAATTTAATAATTAGAAATTTACGTAAGCATTACGTTTCAATTTATTTATCTACACATTTAATATTTCAAAGATAATTTGAGTCAAATTTTGTTTATTTATTTACATTTCGTAAAGGAAAGTATTACAGGAATAAATCAAAGACATATTTATTATAAATGTATGTATAGTAGTTCTTTATACCTTAATTCTCCCACAGGGGGTAAACCGTGTCCAGCAGTGGAACTTATATGGGAGATTGATGATAATTGTATAGCTGTTTTTGTTTGTGTATGACTTCATTGCTTACGAAATTTTATGTTTGAGATTAATAAAATGTTATTGTACCAATTACTTCCGTATAATTGCGTATTTTTATATATGTAACCTACATTACGTTGTATAACAACAGTTTTGCTAAGATTCTTTATACATATGGTGTATTACCTATTAATATATAATAAACTAATAATTTCGATGAAATGTTAATTTTATTGTAATTCACATTATCAAGAGTGAAGAAATAACGGGTGAAAAATATACATTACAAAATGAAGTTATTTTTTCGGATATAAAATGCATTTAAATTTGTTTTTGCAAACAAACCGACGTTTCGGGCCCTTTACAGGTTACATGGCTGATGTTACTGGAACGTTACTTTATTTGTTATAAACCACATACATTTTGCCATTTCAACAATCAGATTAAAAAACGAAATCAGACAACTTAGATGACTTTACCATGTTAGTCAGCTGTGTTCAAGGGACCTGTAAAAGGCCTGAAACGTTAGTTTGTTTGAAAAAGATTTATTTCTTTTTCAAGTAGATACGAAACGAATTTCGAAGTAGATACGAAAAAAATAGTTTAATTTCCTATGTGTAACAATAGCGAAAACCTAAGAACTCGATAAGTATACATTAACATTTTCAGAAACAATGCGGAAATACCCACCAATGCGTTCGTTATTTCGAGAGTGTACCAAAGGGTACGAACTGAGCGATGGACTAGTAATAGAAAAGGGTACTCTGGTGTTAATACCGGTACAGGCTATACAAATGGACCCGGATCTGTATCCTGACCCAGAAAGATTCGATCCAGAGAGGTTCTCGCCGGAGAAAAAGGCGAAACTACATCCTTGCCAGTGGATGCCTTTTGGCGAGGGACCAAGGAAATGCATAGGTGAGTTGTTGTGATGTTTTCATATCAGTGCATTTTCTGTTTTTGAAGGGTAAAAGTGCTGCTTGGTGAAATTACAGGCAAATGAGACTTGTCAACTTACGTCTCGGGGTGACGGGTGCAGTGGTAGTACCCCTCAGCAGGAATATAAAGGCCGCATTGGCAGAATCATAATATGGTTAATTGACAATTCATATTATGAATTTTGAAAACGAAGAACGCAATTCATCTATTTGACAGTGTTCTATGGAGACCTTCATAGAACACATCGCACATGACAACTAATATAGTGTTACCTCAAAATGGCTTTAAATTATATTAATATTAGCTGTTTAGTTTCAAAGCGACAGTGTTGTCCTGTCACTTTGAAATTAAATCGTATATGAACGACACATCGATAAGGAAATTTTGGAGATAAATTATTAATATAAAGCAAATTTTGAGATAAAATATAATATAATGCAATATTTGAGATAATACTATCTTAGTTGTCAAGTGCGACTTGTCAAATAGATGAATTGCGTTATATGAATTGTAAGAAATTGATAATATGAACTGTCAATTAATCATATTATGATTATGCCAATGCGGCCTTTTTAGCCCTGCGGATCTTTGCAATTTAAAGCCAAACCAAAGATTCACATTCATCCCTTCAGTCGGAGAAGTTTTTTTTATGATAGCAAATGACGAGACAAGCAAATATTGTGCTTGCTTGCCTGGTGTTAAGCGACACGCCTGTCCATAGCAGTTTCAGTGCCACTTCTGTGTGTTGTTTGAACAGCTATGGACGTGTTATAGACAGGCGTGTCGCTTAAAACCAGGCGCATGATTTGGTTATTCCGTCACTTGCTATAGTCAAAAAAATCTTCTGAAACGACGTAATGGTTTTGTTTTTGTTAATTTTAAATTCTAATTTTAAATTTTTAGATTACAATATTTTATTTTATTGAATATCATGTTTTTACTACCATTATGTCAATATACTTATATTTTTTGTGATAATATTCTATTAGTGTGATATTACTATTGATAGATACAAAGATAGAACAAATACAAAGAAAATCAAATCCTTCTATCCGTCCGATGTCTGTTGCCTCAACGTGGCTACCGCTCTTACCAACTGGGTTACAGATCATTGTCTTGATCTGTTGACGCAGACTTTATGACTTACCTACTACTACTACCAGAGGCGTAGCGTGAGAGGTTCAGAAGGGGCCATGGCCCAGGGCAGCATAGCAATGGAGGGGGGGGGGGGGGGGGGGGGGGGGGCGGAAGAGGGGAGGGGAGGGGGGGGGGGGGGGGGGGGGGGGGGGGGGGGGGGGGGGTCGAGCCGTAACTATATATATTAAAAATAATCTAGAATGATCCCTGTGACAGTTTGTAAAAATCTGCACAATATAACGTAGTAACGACGTGCACTAATTTACGTATTTCATAAACTATTTTTGTAAGTTACGCTTTTAAATGAATAGTCTTTATTTAAGTAAATACATTAAAATAAACTAAAAATAACACCTAATCCATGTTTATTTGTAAGAAAATTAAATTAATTATGTTTTTGAGACAACGTGCAAAGATTAATTCATCACACTGCATTTGCTAGAGATGAGGTATATCGATAATTTTCGAACAAAAGTTTTCGATAATTTAATAAATAAGTGTATGTTGCGGGTATTTATTCTTAAAGTATTAATTTTAATTGTAGGCAATGAATTAATATATAATATCTCCTTTGTTACAATTTTTTTCAAACCTGTAAATTAATGATATGGTAAATATGTTTTTAAATTTACTAAAATATATCTATTGAAATTGAATTTCAATTTAGTTGTGTGTTTTATGCGTTCAATATATAGAAAACACTTTCACACATCTGTACATCGTTCAGAATACGACAGAAAAATAAAACTTTAGAAGAGAACTTTTGCTTAAAAAATCAAATCACTATAAAATCTATCGACTTTACGTCATCCCTTTTTAAACGTCAAATGAAATGTCACGGGGATCATCCTTTCATAGTCTGAGTTAGTATAGGTCAAGGGTTAGTACAGTAATTTTTTTTTTAATATTTTAAATTAGAACATAAATTCAACTATTTGAAACTAAATCTATAGAAATAACGATATCCTGAACAACACAAAGGTGGCGATGGCAGGCGATCATAAAACCATAATCGAGCCGAACCTACCCGAACGAACTATGTACATAATCTATATACTTCGTAATCGTGAAGATAAAGGGGGCAACAAATTTAAGGTTAATCGACGCTACGCCACTAACTACTACTACATTGTGCTAGCTACAGATCTTATGCATTAGAATGAAACTTCTAGATACTTTATTATTAATCTTATTTTTTCATTTTACATTTATTTCTCTTCTGGGCCATGTTTACTGGTGTTCAGGTTCCAGCCACCACAAATTAATTTCTACTAAACATCAGTAATAATTTTGTGGAGATTTTATTATTATTTTTACCAAACTTCATCTATACATAAGTATATCAATAGCTATTTAGGAATGTAGTGCAAAGTCATTTAAGAGAATGCTTTTACTTTGGGTGCGATAAGGTTCAAATTGCGCGGTATATTTGTTCCTGTAAATAAATAATTCAAACATTTTTAATGTGTGTAAATTTATATATTTTTTAAATATTCTTTAAATATGTTTTTAAATATTAGACAACACCACATACGTTGTTCTGATACCAAAGTAAGTAACTAAAGCAAGTGCTGGTTGTTTCCGATTTCCATAACACAAGTGTGTTATGGAAATCGGTAACAACGACGCGACGGTACCACAAACGTCACGTTGTCACGAATCTGGGTAGATTCGAAACAATATAGAAACGAATCCGGGACCTCAGACATGACGACACCATGAAAATCGGCGTACAAGCCACTCGACCACGGAGGTCGTCTAATGAGTGTCTTTTCAAAATCGGTTAAAATTTTTATGTGACTTAGCAATTGGCAGTTGTGAAGAAGTCGCGATGCAGTCATGACGACTGCATCCCAAATGGTTTCCGACAGCATTTCACCTGTTACGCAGTTGCTTGTAGTCTGTATGTAGTTTTTTTTATGATACCAAAGTATCGATTGACTACGCACCACAAATTAGAAACGTTGATAGTTAGCAGTTTTATGAGAATACCCACAAAATATCTTTATTTGGCCCACAAAATATCGTTCAACATAACATATGATCTTTTATTTGATTTTGATCATACTACATATCGGACTGCTATTACAATAGTGTTGTAACTCAAAATATGTGAAATTTAAGATTATACTATTGCTGGACGTAAAATTTGATTCTCTACACGTCAATAAAACCATCATATGAATATTGTAAGAAACAAATAAAAGGTATCCACTTAACTCAAAATGAGGCAAACTTTTTGTTAGCTAGATCTGGACAAAAAAAGGCCATATTCAAAAATGTGAAATTATTTGTCTCCTTTCATTATATACTTGGCATGTAGGAAATTGATTTAGATTTCTGTTATAAACTTTAACCTATACATACATCTTAATAATCTTTTACGAGCAGTGAGCAATTAGTTTTTCATGCATTCTGAAAAACTTTTGGAGTTAATACGCTATTGTATTGACAGTACGATATATAAATAAGTATGTACAAAGATCATATAGGAAGCAGTTTTAAGTTGAAGTCAAAACTGTCTGTATACATACTATAATTAATCTTCGAATTCCGTGTTAACATTGAACTTTAAAACAAAAAGCAATATGACCTCCAAAAAAGGGGTCAAAAAGGTTATTCTCAGATGGATTTGATTTGATGAATATTTCAGAGAATCGTAAATAAGTGTAGTGTAGTATTTAAGTACTTAGGACCTTACGAAGCGCTCTATGGGTATTTGAAGGCCTTCCTTAATGAGGCCTTCCTTAATGTGTTTACAAATTGCAAACATAATAAATTAAGTATAAGGCGGATTATAGATGGCTGTGTATTTGGTTTCTATGCATTTGTTGAATCCGGACGTTGCTCCGTTGCTCCGAATGTTACCCGTGAGACAAAACATGAGAGATAAAAAAATAATGAAACATTTTAATGTAACAATAGAGCTCCTTGTTGAAAGAGTGCAGGTAAATACTACCACCTTACCTATTTCTGTCGCTAAGCAGTATGTGAGCATTACTGCGTTTCGGTTTTGAAGGGTAAGGGTGCGGGTGAACATACAGGTACATGGACTGGTCAACTCATGTCTCAGGGTCACAGGCACAGTGGCAATGCCCAGCAGATCTTTGCGTTTTAAAGTTCTGAGTGACTCGCCTGTCCGTGCAACAGTTATGGACAGGCGAGTCGCTTGCCATCAGGCGCAGGACTTATTCGTCCCGTCACTTGGTATCATAAAAAATCTGATTGGACAAAATCGTATAGACGTCATTTTTATTGGTCGATCTGGTACAGACAACCATTGATTTGGACTGCTAGTCCTTTCAATCTTGCTCTACAGCAAGATTCCATCTTTGCTCTACATCTTCTTTGTCTAGAAAAGGATGCTTAGATGGTTCGGAAAGGTAGAGAGAATGAACACAAGGAGATTGACGAAACAGATTTACAAGGCGAGAGTGAGCGGGCAAGTTGGTAAGGGCCGGCCAAGGCGAACTCACCATGACCAATTATAGCACGTCCTAAAGAAAAACGTCAAAAGCAAGTAAGCGTATGAAAGCACTGATGCGTGTTTTGACGGCGGTGGTCGAGTGGCTTGCATACCGGTTTCATGGTGTCGCTATCGCTGAGGTCTCGGGTTCGATCCCCAGCCGGGTCAGTGTAGAAAACTACCTTTTTTGTATTGTCTCGAGTCTGGGTGTTTGTGGTACGGTCGTTGTTTCCGATTTCCAAACACAAGTGCTTTAGCTACTTATTTTCTGATCAGAGCAACGTATGTGATGTTGTGTAATAATAAACAATAGAAAATAAAATAGCGTTGATGAAGCGGAGGATGTGTCAGGATCGTAGCTGTTGTCTCTTTCTACACCAGTCAGAAAAGGGAGTCAAATATGCGATGCGTATCTATGTACTCAACTATTTTCAAAACAAAATTAAACGCTAACATATTCTGGCAGCTTATTTATTAAATAGGTACCATTGGGTACAATTTGATATTACTTTAAGTATTTTGCGGTTGTACGCAGATATTCTGTGGCCGTGTGCCACAAACGCCAACACACTCCTAGGTAGCTAGTTATTAACAGCCTTTGTTTTTGTTGAGGTATTATTTGTACTAGAAATAAGGTTAACTTTAATGTTAAGGAGGGTATATAAGGTGGCATATCTATCCTCAGTAAGAATCTAGCCTTCTTGGCATTCTAATCAATAATAGTTAAGTAAATACTTAATTTACTAGCTATTTTTTTGCTACTTGATTGTTATAAAACCGTGAAAAACCGTACAGACACATATTTTCTTAGTTGTAGATGGGTATTTTGGAGATTAGTTTTCTGTACCAAATTTCCTGGCAATTTTCATTATTTACACATTCTAGCGTATTAACAGGATTATAATATTTTATATTCGTAGTAGTAACTTGAAATATTATTTAATATTTCATGATATTAATACGAAAACTAACCAGAAAATTACTCAGATTGAATATCACATGAAAATTCAAATATTGTGTGTTCTATAAAAAAAGTAGATTCATCATGGACCAATCCAATGTATATACTGAGAGTGATCGTATATTCGTAAGATCTGCAGGCTCAATTGGTACAAGCGGTAGCCACGTGAGTCAACAGACACAGGTTCGAGTCCAGTCGGGACGATGGAATTTTTCTTTGTTTATTCGATCTTTGTATCAAGAAAATGTATCAAATCGTGTACCAAACGTGGGAATTCGACGAAAAACGAAAGTTGATGACGTGGGTAATCGCATCATGAGCAGTCACGGAATGGTGGTCAAGAGGAGCAAAAATGTTAGTGGGCAGATCACCAGCCCTATGGTCTGACGATATAGACAGATTTGCGGGATCGCACTGGATGCGAAAGACACAGGATCGAAAATATTGGCGCAATGAGAAGAGCCTATGCCCAGCAGTGGGTTGATGTTGGCTGACCATGACGATGATGATCAAGAAAATAATAATAGTAGCAGTAGAGACCCTTGAGAAAGAGTTGGTGCAGGGAAGTACTGCTACGTTATTTATTGCTGCCGCCAAACAGTAATGTGACATTACTGCGTTCCGGTTTTGAAGGGGAAAAGGTCGTGGTTAAATTACAGACACGTGGGAATCGTCAACTTATATTTCAAAGTTACGCGCGATGTCAATGCGCCTCAATCTTCGCGATTTAAAGTCCTAAGTGGCACTACAACTGCTATGGACAAAGTGTCGCGTCACTTAATTTTATCAGTGCCTATTTATAACTAAGAATATAAACCGTAGTTTACACTTTAGTTACGATAGGTACAGCGTTAGCAAAGTCAGTAACAGTGCTCGGAACTCCAATGTTATATTAAAAGATCTAAAGATGACGTACCAAAGGCCGACTGATCGAAAAGCAGTCAGGAAAGGATAAGATCCTGGTGAAATTACAGACCCCATGTGCCTGTTGTCAACTTATCTCTCAGGGTGACAAGCGTAGTGGTATAGCCCCTCCGATATTTGCCATTTAAAGCTCTGAGTGGCACTGCAATTGCTACTGGACAGGCGTGTCACTAACCACCAGGCGCACGATGTGTTCGTCCCGTCATTTGGTATCATAAAAAACAAATTAGTGGAAAAAAAATAGATGTAATGAATCATAGTAGTAAAAACAAGATATTCATTAAAAATAAATAAATAATGATCATATAAGAACTTCATATTTAGCGGAAATAAGTGACACAAATAAGATTTTTTTAATGATTATCACTAATTTCAGGTTTCTTACCAGGGTATGACTTTTTTTATTTTCCCGATATTTCGGAACGGTTGCACGCTCCATGGTCACTGGTGGATTGGACGGCGGCAGATGACAGCTTTAAGAGTAAATAGACATGTTTGTCTACCTACCCTCTTGCGCTGTCGACGACTACTACCTTCATCGCGATTTGTTGTGGCGTTACCATTGTCACTCACTTTTTTCACACAAACCACACTCGCTGTATCCACAAGCGAAACTGAACTCGAGGTGTTTTTGTTTATGTTTTTTGCAGCAGCAGTAAAGCACAGCAGTAATAAAAATGACAATGGTAAAGCCACAGCAAATCGCGATGAAGGTAAGGTCGCGTCGACAGCGCAAGAGGGTAGACAGATATGTCTGCTCTTAAAGCTATCATCTGCCGCCGTCTAGTCAACCCGTGACCATGGAGCGTGCAACCGTTCCGAAATATCGGGAAGAAAGAGAGAGAATATAGAAAAGTTTCTGCACGGATTGAACCCGGGACCTCAGAGACGGCGACACCATGAAAACCGGTGTGCAAGCCACTCGACCACAGAGGTCGTCTAAATAATAATCAAAATATTAAAATGATATATCAGTTAAAACTAATTCTGCAGTCTCAATAACTCGTGAGTTCACGATTATATTTCCCTAACAATCTTTTTTGTAACAGGTCTCCGACAAGGCTACATCCAGTCGAAGATGGCGTTGGTCAAGTTGTTACCTAAGTACCAATTCATTTTAGATCCCCGGACGCCGGTACCGGGGAGATTTAGTCCGTCTTCCATGACCTGTGCAATGGAAGGAGGTATTTGGATTAAGTTACAAAGACTGTAAAACTAAAGTTACGTGCTTGTGAATACTTCTCAATCAAAAATAGTAGATTAAAATATTGTTATTGAAATATAATATTATTTGCACAATAAAGAGCTTTAAAGGCCTTGAGTAAACTACCTGAGCGTTTGCACACTCCGTCTGATTCGTATCAGGGAGTCTACTCTTGATCTCCGTCCGAAACAATTACTGCCAAATAAGCAATACTTGACCAAATGAAAAGACGCGTGATGCTAATGAAGCTTCATACTTGACATTTGTCTTTTAATTTTGTCGAATATTACTTATTAGATAGTAATTGTTTGGGACGGATGTCGGACGGAGAGTAGACCCCGGTTCCGTATCGGAGAAATGACAGTCCGAAATGTCACAGGGATCATTTTATCTCAAGGTGTATAAGCGATATTCGTATTTTTTCGGATTCGAAGCGGACTTAGTGCATAAGCGACATCCGAAGTGGGTCCGAATCTTCTAGATTTGTAGTCTTCGGAGTCGGAACGAATACAAATCGGACGCAGTGCACAAACGCGCTAATCATTATTAATAATGGGGACGGTGAAATAGGGATGACGAAAAAATTGAGAAAGCATATTTCATAGGAAAAATAAAGTAGCTGTGTGAAAAAATTGGGTACACAATAGTGCTTTTCTTAACTTACCACAATACTGCTTTTCTTAGTTTACCTTAAACGACATTTTTAGCAAAATTTAGTAACTAACATGCCTGGAATCTGCAAAACGAGATCTACAACCCATTACTTATAAGCAGTTTTTTAACATCTTATTTAGTTTCAGTTTTATTCGGGTTAGGCAGAATCATCGCAATTGACATTTTTCTAAGAAAAGAAAAAAGCTTTAAAGATATATTTCTCACCAAGAATTTTCATTCACTTAACATGAGAACAAACAATAATATCTAAATAAGAAAAAATAACAAAATATGACTAACTGTACAGTTGAAATATCGAACGACAAAGATTAAGTATAAAAATTATACTACATTGTGTGGGTTGTTTATTTAAATGAAAGTTAGTTCGTTCAATCACTATACAAAATGTATTCTTTAGTTTTGTCAAGGAGGTTGTAATGTTCTTCACTAGATCAATGAATACTCCATATGTACGTTGGATGTAAAGACATTTATTTATGTTAATGACACTTATAATAAATGTACGTTTGATTTAATTTCTATATTTTATTATAGGACAAATGTCTCGACTTTTGCCTCCATTCCGGCCACCTAAAGACAAATATATTTTTATAGCTTATTGGCTCCGGGTCTGGTCCATAACCAATATTGTAACAGAGGTCAGAACATGTTACAAAGTGTGTAACAAGAAGTTTTATTATATACATATTTCGGCTGAAAAGTCAGATAACATACTCGTAGAACTATGAGAAAAAAAAATTATGGGAGAGGTCAATCGGATAATGTGTACCCACACAATTTTTTTTTTGGCTAACAATTCAATTTTTAACCGACTTCAAAAAATAAGGGTTATCATTTAGCTTGTAAATTTCTATTCGTTTTCTTCGTATGTTACACGATTACTCTGACATTTGTGAACCGATTTCGATGATTCTTTTTCATTGGAAATAAATTACAGTAAAGAGCACATTTGACACTTTGTACTTTGGACCGTTCTTATCGTAAGCGGCATAGAGTTGGATTTTAAGTCTTAATTGTCAAGCTTGACGTGGTCTTGACCCTGTACCTCAGTAGTGGTCCCGTTCTAATTTGAAAAAAATAGGAATGGTGGCAAACTAGTGGATGAATCAGGTTAATTGAATTTCACCCACTTTCATTTAAAACTTGGCCATTGATATTCCAATAAGACTAAAATGTTATGGTGACCTAGAGCTGACGATGTAAATGTCAGACAAACGAGAGGAACTCCACAACAGTGCACAGCAGCTACCTTGTGTTTGAGCACATAATGATTCATTTTGACGAGAACTTCCACATCCGTTCAGTTATCGTCGAGGAGACCGCGGCAACGACCACAGCGAAGCCGAATAATTAAGTTTGAAATTGCTTTTTTTTATTACATAAAACAATTACTACGTTTATTTCGCACTCTTGATGTAAAAAGGCCATATCTGACCATAATGACATTTTTTAAGAGAGAGGTTTAAAGATTCGAAGAACGAAATTTTCTCAAATTAGTTCAATACTTTTTCATGCTTAAATGGAAGAGTTATAAAATTTCACATTACATAATTCATGTAAGTAGTTCGTAATATTTTTTAGACTGCCATATAATAAAAGCAGTAGAGCTCCTTGTGAAAGAGTTCGTCCAGGGAAGTACCGCCGCCTTACCTACTTCTGCTGCCAAGCGGTAAATGTGGCCATTACTGTGTTCAGGTTTTGAAGAGTAAGGGTACTGGTGAAATTACAAGCAACTGGGATTTGTCAATTTATGTCTCAGGGTGACGAACGCTGTGGCAATGCCTCTCAGATCTTTGCGATTTAAAGCTCTTAGTGGCACTGCAACTGCAATGGATCGTCGTATCGCTTATCATAGGCGCACGACTTGTTCGTCCCTTCGGTATCACAAAAAAGTACTTTTTATGTATCATATGTGTCTTTGTATTATATGTCTTTATTGGTACAAAGAGTACGAAATGTTAATTTGATGAGCATATATATATATATTTTTATGTAATACCAAGTGAAGGACGAACAAGTCGTGCGCCTGGTGGTAAGCGACACACCTATCTATAACAATTGCAGTGCCACTCAGAGCTTTAAATCGCAAAGATCTTAGGACTGTGCACTGCGCCCGTCATCCTAGACATAAGTTGACAAGTCTCATGTGTTTGTAATTTCACCAACACCCTTACTTTTCAAAACTGGAACATACTTACATTACTGCTTGGCGGCAGAAATAGAAAATGTTACGCAGTTAATTGTATTTTTGTTCAATCTTCTGTCTTAGTAAGCACTATCCACAGCCGAAATATGTTCTGATTTTGTTACATTCAGTATGTGACATGAGCGCCTAAGTCGTTATGTAAGTTATGGTGTAAACTTGTTGGCTAATATTAAATATTCAGATCGTGAATTATATAATAAAATGAGTGTTGGTTCAACTAGGCCCATCTGGTTTTAGTTTTAGCCGTCGCTGTAAAACGTGGGAGTGTAAATATGTAATATATAGACCTACTTATTTTCTTGAACTACAATGAAAATATTTCTAAGGTAACTTGGGCGAAGTATTGGACTTTGGTACATTTCCTCAAGGAAGTAATTCACCAAAACAACCTCATTAACCTATTTATATATTGTATAAATTTACATCCTACTGCTGGGCATGCGACTCTTCTCAAGTGACGGTTCCTTTACCGAAAAGCTCTTGGTAAATTTTAAATTAAATTTCGCACATCAATTCCGAAAAACTCAGAGGTGCGAGTCCGGATTCGAACCCACGGCTTCTGCTTGAGAGGCAGTAGGTCAAACCATTAGGTTACCACGCCTTTTATGAATATAAATAAAATAATTTATTCTAAAGTAAAGTAAAGTTTTCTTATGATTCTATTACAATCCAGTGGTCCAAAAAGCAAATTTTAAAATTGGTGTCAAGTTCGATTTAATTCGTGTATATTATATTAACAGCAATGTGTTTAAATTAATGATTGTATAGAATACATCGTCGTTTCATACAATACAATACAAATTAAAATGTCTCACGGGCAGCTTAATTCAAGAATGAAGTAACCGGGTCACACATTCTACGTAAACATGGTCACTTGGCCGTGTGCCGTCAGGCGAGTTTGGGAATTTTACGCAATTCGCTGGCCGTACTCGATCGAGTAATCCAGATTGAGCCCAAGATTTATACATAGCTTTATTGTGTAACTCACTACTGCTTGGACTATAATATATAGTATTAACACAATGGTATTGTTTATTTGAAAATTTTTCAATAAGGTTGTGAAAGAAAAATCAGAATTTTATACATCGAGGTCTTAGGTTTTCGCGACTGTTACAATTTGGTACGGGATGAAACGCGTCTCGTAAACAGCCCGATACGTAGGTTTGTTTGAAAAAAATAAATATAGGTACGTAATTTAGATCTGAAAAAATAGTTTCATTTCCTATGTAGCCATCAGAAAAACCTAAACACTGTACTATTGTACGTCAAAAGTATCTTAAGAGTAAAATAAAAACTGCAATTTACAAGTTTGGGTTTTTAATGCAATGAATAGATAACAAATGTAATTGGGAAGATCGTTCAACAGTCAGTACAATGTAACACAAAATTAATAAAAGTTTCAAATTCATTTCAAAATAATATAGCAAGTAATTATTTACGGGTCTATTTACGTACCCAAAGGCGTTATGTGGGCGTGAAACATAAAGTCCGTCGAAGTGGTCATTAATTAAGTATTATCATAGCATGTAACTTCATAATCCTCAGATTTCATTCCGGTTGTTTACGACATGCATAAAAAACATTTTAAAGTTAATCTTGTTTTTCTTTTTTCCGTGTTTGTGTTCCTTCATCCTTGGTCGATAGCGGCGGATGGTAACTTCCATCATCGTCGTTTGTTAAATCTCCAGATTGCTGGTCCTGTGAATGTGAAACACGAGATGGCCGAGGTGAGCGTTTAAGTTTAGAAAAAGATGTAGTCTGCGGAATGGTTTTGTCGTTTGTTGCCAGAGCTGCTGACTGCATTTCTTGAGATGTCGAGGCTACAGATTCTTTCGATCCAGTCGCAAATCTGAATCTTGCAGATAGAGATTCAAAGGATGCTCGACGGTTTGACGCCACTTCGGATTGTGCGATCGGAACTTTCTGCTGTATTTCTGTCTCACTTGCAATGAGATTTCTAGATTTCGGTTTTAAAGTAATTGTTGAGAGCATAGTTTCATCGGATTTAGCATTTAGCACTATTCGCTCTGTTTTTTTTTGCGTATTTTCATATTTCCGCTTAGAACTATCTTTCGACTTTGATTTTATCCAGTCTGCTCCATGTATGTGATGTCTACGTGAAAACACTTCCTTCCATTCGATGTTTTTTTGACATGAATCTTTTGATTGAATGATCGATAGACTGTCGTCGGGAGTGCTATCGGCAGGCGGAGCCTGTTGCAATCTTGGGTTTCCATATTGTCGCACAACTGTTTTCTTACCTTCATTACTCTCCTCCTCCGTTACGTCTAACGGCTCAATGTTATCATTATCTTCATCATCATCATCTGATGAACTACGTAATGCCGAGTACAGTGCATCATATAGATTTTTTTTTATAAATGAGCATTCTTTTGAATGTTGGCTTAGAAGCTCTGATGTAAGTAGCTTCTCTTTCTCTTCAGGTACACGCGACGCTGAAACTGACTCAGGCGCATTGGAAAACATATAGTGGAGTATTTGTTCACTTCCATGAGTAAATTCTTTGTTTGTAAATCGTACTTTAATAGAATCACACGAGTTATGTGCGTGCATACGTGTGTTTGTGTAGTTGTCCTTTGTGCCTTGCTCAGGGGATACAGTTCGTATATGTTTTTCGTGGCGTTCCTAGGTACCAGAAACGTCAAAGCATAAACATTTCAGAAAAGTGAAATAATATTTACAAATTCAAAGACAGTGTTTATAAATTGAAAGAATACAAAAATAAAGAAACTAAGACATACGAGCATTTTCTCAATATTGCCGCAGAGGTTAGCGCTGATGCAGACGAGTCTGAAGTCGATGACAAATAAGACCCGAACGAGAGCCACGACTGCCGTCAGTACCCAACAGCAAGTGTGTAGCCACGCGGAGACAATAGTTAGTTGGATGGCTTGGAACACACCCCGGATGCGTCTCTCGAACGCCAGTGTGACTACATTTATGGTGTATGAGCACCTGTTTACCAAGACACGCTTTATAACTTTTTTAATACATATTTCATGTAGTAGGATGTCTTTTACGATGTTTTCGTGTAGATCGTAGATTCTTTCTTTGAAAGAGATTTTTTGGCAAAGTGGTCCAGTGATCGTAGAAAAGTATGCACACAAAAAGCGAGTTACATGTACACTTGTTAACATTTTTTATAAAATTAAAAAGAGTTACAAGTGTGAAATGCCGTTCTACGTAGAACTAAAAAATACCTACAAAATTATGATCGTTTTAACTAAAACGTGGTCGCCGACTAGTTTTCTACAAAGTAAGCTTAAAAATACCGAGTACGCACGTTGCAGAGCCGGTGACTTCTGAAAGCTTCGCGCAGAGATCCAACAAGCCCGAGGTGGTAACAGCCGAGGTGTAAATGCATAAACAGCTCATTGCCACCGAAAAAACGATTACGTACGGCAGCAGGCGCCAGGAGCGTTGCAATCTGTGTCAGCATGAATTGGTATAAGTTTACCTTTATTTTTTGGTACATACCGACGAAAGTAGCGGTCTATCTAATAGATAATTTAGTACAAATGATATTAAATCTCCTGTATCTGTCATTGTGTTGGCTTTCTCTTTACTTCAGTGAGGAACTCCCTAGCGTCGTTGTGCTTTAGTTCCTAAGTAAGGCAGTAGTTTCTATACCGAGGGATTCTCTAAACAGAGAAGATTATAATAATATAACACAACACACTCATAGTCCCGCACTAGGGAAACCCTGTATCGCGGGTGCCATTGACACACACACACATAGGTAGACAACCACAAATTACACCCAAATTCACGAGAAAAATAAATGTAGGCAGTACAAATATTTGTATTGCCTACAATATAAATATTTGTATTGCCCCGCCCGGGAATCGAATCCGAGAACTCTACGTGGCAGTCCAGCATGGTAACCATTCGGCTACGGAAGCAGTTAAATTGTAAGGATAGGCCTGATTATGAATAACTTAGTAGCAGTGCAGCTCCTCATGAAAGAGTTCGTCCAGGAAGGTACTGCCACCCTACATATTACCGCCACTAAGCAGTAATGGTGCATTACTTCGTTTCGGCTTTACAGGGTAAAGGTGCTGTGAAATTACAGGCACATGGGACTGGTCAACTTATGTCTCAGGCGCCTTTGTGATTTAAAGCTCTGAGTGGCACTTCTTCTTAGCGTGTCGACTCTGACATTTATATTTGTGAGGACCAGTACTCAGTGACTGACACAGCATTATCAGTGGCGTTGTACAGATCCTCGCGTGTGCAGGTGTAGGGCACGGAGGACAAGACAAAAGATGTGCCATAGTCTGGGGAGAGACACCACAAATACACGCGCTCTCAAAGATATTACCCCACCCCATGATTTGCACTGCAACTGTTATGGACTGTGGCATCCCACCAGGCGCACGACTTGTTAGTCCTGTTACTTGGTATGATAAAAAACACAGGCGGGTGTCCACCTTTAAATTTCAATCTATTATAATAAACATATACAACCGCCCTCGCACTTGTTATTTTTCTATACATATTTTCAAAATGTATAGTCAGGAATGAATGTAAATGTTTAAAACATTGCATTCTGAAAAGTTTAAATTATTATAGGAATAATTATATAGATACTTTTAGTAATTACCTATTCTTATTTTACATTTCGATTTTTCTTGATTCGGAAATTCATACTCACAAATGTGTAAGATAGTCGCGATAATAACTTCTGTATATGAGTTGATACGTTTTTAACGGTTCTGGATAATACAACTTTAATGGTACGCCAACACATCAAGGTATACACTTTTGCTCGGAAATCGCCTCCAGTGCAACGGAGCAAGATCCGTCAATATGTACCTTGATGTGCTGCCGTACAATAATATTGTATCTAGTGTCGTCATTAATTGTTAGCGATACATTATGTGTGTTTCTAATTACATAGATTGCAGTTGCAGCCATAAATGTTTTTGCTTTGAAAATAATAAATTTTGAAATATAATATTACTCCTTATAGTTTTCTTATGTAGTAGAAGAACCAGGATAAACATGTCTACAAAGTATTTAGTAGGAGCACGCCTTGAATTAATTTAACTGCGCTATAATCTGAAGTCAGAAAGTCCATTTTGGCATATACGAGTACCTACATAAGGTTTAATTTGAATTTATTCGTCACAAATTGTCTTTACTTAAATAATATATTGTAAATGAAATCATTTGAATTCTTTAACAAACATACTAACCCCAACGTTTTACTACCTGACGAGAACATGAGAAACATAGTTGTCCACACAAGGCCAAATATACCAGATATCAGGGGCACATAAGTCGGTAGGTAGCACGTGCTTTTATCCATCCAGTGAGTAGTCACGAAGTCCACAGGTAACGCTGTACAAACATGTCAGAAAAATGGTCGAAAATAATGATAAACTTCTTACAATTTTGCCCGTACAGGCGTACAACTTAGTGAACAGACTATAGAAAGAAATGAATTCGATTGTTTAAAAGATACTTTGCTACTCCGATGGCATAGGCACTTTCAAGCAAATATAATTATATGTATAGGTACCTTCTTAGGGCCAGCGCAAATCGGCGGATGACAAGTCAGAGGATATTCAATTTATCATAGTATATTTTATGCTATTTCAATTGAAATAAGGTACCTACACATTTTAATGATCTGAGACCGCCCTTGGAGCATCGCGGCGCATTTCTCCCTGCGGAATTGAAGAGCACACTAGAGGATACCGCGGCGGCTTGGTGCCGGTATGCGACGGAAACAACCTGCATGCGCCGGAATCTGCCTGAATGCGCTAGGGTCTTTTCGACTTACTTATTCCTCTATAGTGTGCGCTGACAAGCATAAAATTATCTTCGATGCTTTCCCCCGACATCCGCCAGTTTGCATATTTAATTATGACAACAAAAACCTACCTTGTATATGTAGAAAGGAGACTAACGTTTAGTAGTAATGATCTCTTTGATGATGGGATGATGAATGTTTAAGGTAAATAAATCTCACTTTCGATTAATCCTGCATTTGGTATGTAGTCATATAAGACGCTATGACGTAGCTCCTTCAACAAAAGTAGTTTTGGGAACAATACGCACTTCTCGTCAAACAAATACATTAGTACATGGAAGCAAAATGTGCAAAACGATCCGAACACAAAGGCTAAGAAGAAGAAAAGCAGATGGGTACCTGGAAAAGAAAAACTAGCAACAATAGGAAATCGTATCTAAATTATACATTTTTTTCCAAACAAACCAAGCATTTCAGGCCCGTTACAAGTGACCAAGGGACATGTAAAGGGCCCGAAACAAATATAAGTATGCGATTTGGATCCGAAAAAATGTTTTTATTTCTTATGTGTAACAATCGCGAAAACCGAAGGACTACCAACAGCTAACAACTACACTACTAGCAACAATGTTTAAACGTCTTAATATATCAAAATATCAACGAATAATTCTCCTGTCTGGTGTACTTACTATTTCTCCGTGTTGTGGTTACGGACCAAAAACGAGACGAGGGTCTATTGCGGTGATCTTTTCACAAGATGAACAATAAGAGATTCTATGCCCAGGATGGAATTTGAAGTGTAATAAAAGTAATTTGAATATAATAACATGTCCGATGTTTAGAAAGCTCTACCTTTAAAGAATTGATTTCAAACGAAAAAATTGACAAGAAGCTTGATTTCTTTGGTCACATTTCCAGGAAAGAAGGGCACAATCTAGAACAGTTAATGGTTACCGGATAGATCGACGTTAAATGTCTAAGTGGACGCTGTTCCACAAGATGGTCCGACGTAATTTAGTCATGCAGAAACTGTTTCCACGGGGAGTCACGACTTTCAGTAATGAGGAATACGATGCGAGGAAGACGACTTTTAAACACACATCTAACTCGCATTGGCGAAGTGTAGTGGGCAATATAGTCCTTTGTTTAATACAGATGTGACTAATTTGAAATGTACCTTTCCACGAACCGCTTATTTCAGTTTCCTTTCTTTCAATCAGTCTATATTCTTTGTAAAGAGTTAGTCTATCCTTGGGTTTCGGTTTCGGCGAACCCGCCTTATCTCTGCCATCTCGCATCTCTATATTTTTAGAACTAAATTATTAAAAACTAGGTATAACACTACGCTTTATCACAATTTTGCAAGGCGATCTAAAACATTTATACAGATACGTCAAGAGCAGGTCAACCTGTACATTGGATTTTTTATTTTTTTTCCCATGCTTTGGATTTTGGACAGTTCTTGACGGAAGAGCAAAAAGTGAAAAAGTTAAATTTAAATCTTGTCAAGTTTGACATGTTTTGTACGTACCTACAAGAAAATATTTAGTTTTTGCATATAGACATTTCACGGACAGTGTTTTGTGTTACAGAACGGTAATAAAATAGTGTATTGGGAAGAGATACAATTTTCAAACAAAGAATTACGAAATTGGTAAATTTTTTTTGATACTAAGTCATGGGACGAACAAGTCATAAAGCTCATCGTCAAGCCTGAGGGTAGACGACACGCCTGTCCATAAAAGTTGCAGTGCCACTCAGAGCTTTAAATCGCAAAGATATGAGGTGCACGGCCTCTGCGCCTATCACCCTGAGACATAAGGTCTATAGTTGGATGTATATAACAAATTTGTAATTGATATACATTGTCTTACAAATAAATAAATATACACGTACTCGAAATACCACCAACGTGTCACACAATATTACATAATAATATATGTACAATATTTAGAACTACGTAGATCGTAATCTAATTACGTTATACATATAATGAATTTAATTTTTTCTGTAGATTTGCGCTTTGGTGACACGGTTATATGGGCGCGATCGCTCACCAAGTGGTACTGGCAGAACAGCGCTGTATAGTCTGTCACGTCTATAGCATCTATGGTGAACCAGGGCCTTTTCTACACAAAATTGATCAGGTTTTTGTTTTCATAAATTTTATGACATAGAAATCTGTACAAACTCTTATCTTTAAGTTTTATACTAATATAAATGTTTATGCTTGTTTACACAACACACATTAACAAATGTAGTTATACTTATATATATTTGTTAGCGCCGGTTATATCTTTTGACTGTTAGATAC